AAAATGTCTGTGCACATGGAATTTACTTGAAAATCCTTTTCTGCTATCATAGAATCCATTACTTTGCTTTTTATATTTATATTTACCATGTGTTATTTTAACGTCCTTGGTCCTTGTTACTTAATGGACTGAACATTCACAAGTGCGCTATTTATGTTTTATCCTGACCAATACTATAGATCTACAAGTATAGTATACCTTGGTTCATAAATGCTCTGTTTGCATACAAATTGGGTTTGGTGAAATTTTGTTTCCATTTGTAAACTCTGCCTTGTGTGACAAACATGACCGTGACTACTCATATCAACACAAACGTAGCCGTCTTCCCCAAAATCTTAAAATGAAGTTTGTTAACTGAGGTATCACTGTATTTTAAATATACTTTCTCTATATTCACTATATTTCATACATCTATATAGTTCTAATTAAAAAGATTGTCTATTTTCCATTAGATAACCTCATAATTTCATCATTTACCAAGTGCCAGACATTTTTTTTTTTTACCATGGAGATATAGTGGCTGACAAGCAAACAAATCAATATATACTTTAATTTCAAGAGAACCAATGATTTCTGTGAGGCAAACTGAAGCAGGGCAAGTGAAGAGCGGCAGTAGTGGTAGACTACTTCAAGCTGGGTGTTCAGGCAAACCATGTGTTACGGCTCAGATCAAGAGACTCCCAGATCTCCAATGCCCTCCGAGGCAGGCCTGTAGGAAGGTCATGGATCTGGGTGCTCTAGCTGACTTGCTGCAGGAGAGTAGGCTTAGCCTGAAGGTGCTTAGGGCATGACCTAGAAACGCATATCTGCCTTCCTCATTCTCCCCTTAACCTTCTCCTTCCTGGTCACCATAAAGAGAGCAGTTTCCTCTGCCTGGACCCTTCCTTCATGCCTTTCTTGCCTTGCAGCCAGCCAATCATGGACTGAAAATGTGAGCCAAAGTAAACCTCTCTTTCTTTAAATTGTGAGTTTTGGATGTTGTGTCTCAGCCATGAGAAAATGAGTAAGACACCATTTAAGAAGAAACCTAAACTAAATGAGAGAGGAACCATGCACAAGTCTTGAAAAAGGTTATTTTATGCAAAAGGGACCGCACATGCAGAGGAATTAGTTTGGTATATTTAAGAAATGCCAGGAAAGCCAAAGATGTTTGTTTTATTTAAGAAATGCCTATAGGCTAAGAGAAAGCAGTATCCCTAAAGCCAAGGGAAAAAGTTACGTCTTGAAAGAAAGAATGATCAATTGGAGCAAATGCCTGAATGGTCAAAAAAGGAGACAAAAAAGAAAAAGGAGACAGTAATTCACCATCAATGAATTTATCAAAATAGAAATTTCCAGTAATCTTTAAAGTAGGGGTAATAAAGCCTCAGGTGATGCAAAAAAGGCAGAGATAACTAGAAAAAATTCTTTCAAAGAGTTCTGCTCTAAAGGAAGCAGAAAATGGATATTTGAAGAGTTAAATGGTGTCGAGTAGTTCGTTTGTGGTTTGATTTTTAAAGATGTTTGCAACTCCAAATTGTATGTAGATGGGAATAATGCAGTAATAAAACAATATGTAATACTATAGAAAAGAAGGCAGAAACACTGATGCAAAATCCTCAGATAGCTCAGAAAGGAAGAGATGCAAGACACAGTGAGGGGTTTGGTTTTGACGGGAGGACAGCCACTTCTTCCAGTGAAAGTTGAAGGCCTGAGAGTAATCTATGGGTCATAGAAAAGTGAAAAGGATAAAAAAAGATGTGGTATTTTTATACAATGGAATATTACTCAGCTATAAAAAGGATGATCTTGAGGCCTTCATAGTAAATGGAGACAACTTGAGACTATTCTCATTAGGGAAATAAATAAGAATCATATTTATAAATATTACATTGTGTCTCTACTATAAAAAGTAATAAGAAATATAGGAGTAATAAAGCCCAAAATGTGTACTTGCTAATGTAAAAAAGTGAGGGAAATAAAGTGCTCTGAAAGATATAACTGCATGTATGTTTAAGTGTATAGGATTAATAATCATATTACTAAGCTTTTGTTGGATAGCTGAACAGAGCTGTTTGCAGTCTCGCTATTTGAACGTCCACTTGCTTTACTTTTGTAACTTGAACAACAATTTCTAAGAAGACAATATACAATTATCAACTAGTGATTTCTTACTATTTTTTGAAATTATGTATTATCTCTACCCTTTTTGTTTTTTTCTTTAAAAACGTGAAAAAAAGGAAGCAATTCTCTTGACACGTCTATCTTCTCAGTTAAATAGGCCATTGATAGAGAATGAAGAGAAAGGAAGAAGTATCTAAAGATTGAGGAGATGGAAGGAGGTGTGAAGTGGTTGTATCAGAGTTGGAGGGAAGTAATTAAGGAGATAGCGTTCGAACTCTGGAGACTGTCACCCTTGTAAAGCGCTGCTTCTGTGATGGTCCCTACGTGCTCTTGCTACTTAGAAGTTGAACATTAAACAATTCCCCTCCTTGAATTCCAGCTGTACTTACTTGCTCGTAACTAGTAAAATATGGGAGGAGGTGTGGGGGAGACTCTGGCTAGAGAAGTGCTTGAAATAAGTGTTGAAAGGAGTAGACCTCATAGCAAGAGTTCCCAGGCTCTTAAGCTAAAGTTTAGAGCAGATACGCAGGACAACCGTCAGCAGAATCAGTAACAAGTTCTACTCAGAGACGTTTGCTCTGACTATTGAGTCCCGTGCCCCAACAAGTTTGCTTAAACTAGGTTGACCCGTGTCTCCTAACAATCCTTCCTATTCCTTTCCTGTCTCCAACCAAAACTCCTACACAAGTGTTGAAATGCTCTTCTTCGACAGTGTTTTTCTAATGCTCTTCAGCTACAAATAGCCTCACAGGTCTCAATTTGTTGCTATTTTTCTGAAACTTTGGAATGGTCTCTCTGGACCTCTCAGTAATTAGTCTTGTCTCTGAGTAATCTTTCACTATTTATTCAGCCACAGTCACATATTGTGACAGGAAGGAACACTACATCTGACATTAGCTTGTAAAATATAATGTTATCACTTTTGATACTAGGTTATAAGACTGTGTCTTCCATCTGAAGCTCTCTCTTGGATTGCTCACTAGGGAGCAAGACATGCTTCCATGTCTTGAATAGCACTGTGGAGTGATCTATATGTTAAGAAACTGAGGGGTAGCAACAGACACATGACTCACCTTGGAAATAGATTTCCCTAGTTTCACTGGTCAATTTTTTTCCTTTTTTTTTTCTTTGAGCCAATATCTCACCATTTGGTTCAGAATAGCTTTGAACTCATTATATATCCCAAACTGGCCTCAAACTCATAGTGATCCTCCTGTTTCTCAGCCTCCTGATGCTAGAATTATGGGCACGTATCACCATACCCAGCACAAGGCCAAACTTTTGATTGCAATCTCATGAGAGATTTGAAGAAGTGGCTTTCATCCAAGCTATATGACCTAGAGAATAAGTGAGGTGCTATTTTGTTTTGTTTTCAGCTAATTTGTGGAAGTAATTTCTTATAAAACAACAGATAATTAGTACATCTCACTTCAGATAGCAAAGCAGTAATAAATTTAAAATAAGACATCAGAAGTATGTTTTTTTTTTTCTATTCCCGCTCAAAGGCATGGAAAAAATTAACAGTTAACCCTAGATGGTAAGTGGAAATGATGGGGTGAAAGGCGAAGATAAAATAAAGATATGTTTTTAACTATAACCTGTATACTTCTATATAATTTGAAGTGTTACAGTCAGCTTATATCATTTTTTTCTGTATATGATTTTTTAAACGCCAATCTTAATACAGCACCATAGAATACAAGCAAAGTAGCTTATCAGAGAGAAGCAAAATCATACTGTTTGATCTGTCTCCAAACTGCAATTTGTGGTTCTTGGCATTCTATGCAGGGCTAGAAATAATCACTCTGTAGCATTTGCAAGTGCAAGATAAAGCCCTAGGACCACAGTTAAGTGTCTGTTAGCAAACACCAGGTTTTAGCCCCTGGTAGGATAACAACATTCCTGTTTCTCTGTGAAAATCCTCATGAACTCACAGCTCCATCTATTGCTGCTGGTGAAGCCTGCTGGGAGGAAGCCTTGATATCTATTACCCAAGTCTGTTTTACTTTTTTTTTTTTTAATATAAAGAAAACCCTTTGAAGCCCCAAGATAAGAGATAGTGTAACATTTGGGTATCAGGCATCTTGAAGTCAGATTCTCCAAGGCCTTCCTTGACTATGTCACTTTCTCTTCCTCCAAGGTTATTACTGCTTCAAAAAGGTATAAATACGAATGATAAAGAAAGTTTACAAATTTTGTCTCCTATTGCCATGCCAAGAATTCTGATGGCACACTTGCTGGTAATAATTTTCCTGGCAGTTGTTCACTGGATTCTGCCTTGTTCCTAAAAGCTATCACTGTTCGTTGAAAGTACACAAGGGCAAAATTGTCAATTCATTGAAAATAATTAAAAGTTAGCCAAATACAATAAGATTGAATTTTCTACTCCTACTGCATTTAAAACTTCTTGGAAGGAGGGACCATATCTTATGTGTCCAACATTCAACATTCACTAAACAGTATTTACTTTGCCAGCCCAGCAAGCATGGGCATACACTCCAGAGCCAGCACGTCATGTACTAGGCAGATTCTCCTTGGCTACATCATCGTCAAATTTTCTTTTCCCTCTATGCTGCTTTCCACATCTATTCTCTTTCTACTGTCTTTGGTCTGATTTTGCATTTTCAAAAGTTCATAATACAGGTTGCACTATGAAATAGCTTTTAACAGTTGAAAATATCCATATAAAACTGGTGTAGTGTCACAAATTCTATCTCAAAATAGACTATCATAATTATCAAGCAAAAAATTGATATTAACATGTTTTCAACTACTTTTTGTAAACAATTATAAAAAATTCAGATCTAAGTATTAACTAATGTCTACTAGTGACATCTTAATGTATGTTGTTCAAATGAAGAGGCATTCTTGACTCTAGGTCGTCTCCTTGTACTGACCTTCACATGATTCTCCCCCTGGGGAAAACATCCCATTGTCATGGTAGCCATCTCTGCACTCACAGTGGTACCATCCCGGGAGGTTGACACAGTTAGCACGGCTGTCACACTGAACGAAGCCATCAGAGCACTCATCGATGTCTGTTGACAGAGCAAACAAAAATGAAGTTTTATACAACTGTTTCTTCCAAAGAAACCAGATTTTCCTCCTACAAGGTTACTATAGTTTTTAATGCCAACAAATCTTTGAAAGTGAAACAATATGAAATCACTAAAGGCACTTGGTTTTTAAAAGCTGTGCAGAAATAATGTAGTAGTTCTAGCAGAAGTGTCTGGAAGGCTTCTTTTACAAAAACGATTCAACTGTAAAAACTGGAAGCCTGATTGACTCTCACCAATTACTGTACTTCTAGTTCTTCAGTCCTTTCTTGGTCATTTTCGATCTCATTTAGGTCAGGTGTGGGTCTGTGACTTTCTTAAGCCTTTGAAGGGAGATAAGTATTACTTCTAGGCAGGAGCTTTAGGATGCAATGTGTGGTTCATATATATCCTTCCCTATCACAATGACTAGCAATTTTCAGAGGGTCTATAGACCAATTAGTGGTTTTCCAGGTCTTTTGGATAAATGGAGAGCTTGCCAAATAATCTAATGTACTGACTGCACCACTGTGGTTCCCAGAAATGCATGTACCCATTCCCATCTTGAGAAGCCCATACTGTGATCGAAGGCTCTATCTGCCAAGGTAGGGTATTTTTTCCTTATGTGCTTCCTATACCTGCTGCAGTGGTCAAGAACAGTGTTGTGTCTCAGGATGAAGGGAAGGCCAGCTGCTTGTTACAGTCCTTAGTCTACTTGAATTGGTAGAATCTGTTCTTTCCTATATCAGCTTCACCTAACTGCAAATTCATGGAAGTATATATAACTTTCATTTTCAAATTTCCTCTTTTCTGATGTTTTGTTTGAAGGAGAACAATGAATGAATACTTATTTCCCAAATAAGCGATTACTCATTTACTTTTTGATATAGTTTCTTTCAGTAAAAAACTACGTTAAACATTCTCTTAGATTAATACTAAGTAATAGGAAAAAAACCAAATATTTCATGTCACTGTAACATTTCAACATTATTTTTGAATTTTGCATAGGTTTGCCTCTGTGATTTCTCTTCCTAAAAATTAGCTCCTACAGCCAGTAATTCCTACTGACAAAATTGTTAGTGGCCAGATTAGCCAACCATTTACATGCTGGGCACATAGGCACTCTGACCTGCCTCCATTCACTGAGGCTTCACAGGTGTTAAGAAAGAATCTATTTGTTCTTCAGGGGCCTTCCTGACTGATAAGCCTCCAATTATAAATGGGTTCAAAATGCTGTGCCCATCTCAGTTTATATGGTCTTTTCTTTCATCCTAAATGATGCAGAAAATTGTGCCATTTCTCAGTAACTGGACAAAAGAAAACAGGTTTGAGATTTAAGCTTTAGAAGAGAGATTCACTGGAAGAAGACCATGAAGAGAAGCTTAAGAATCTTTCATTTTAGAAAAATTCAGTCTTTCAAAGTAACTATTAATATAGCACAAAGATTTCCTCACTGAGGCAACTTTCTCATGATATTTGGCCTTCAATTTAGTCTTCCTTTCTACCTTAGAGTAATTGTAAGTTTATCTCAGTCCTTGTGAAATCAACATATATTCCAGTTGTTACTTCTCAATTTATTTTCTCTTTTGTTATTCCTTTTCCAAGCTCCAGGCCTATTTCCACACTGCCTTACCTTGCCGTCCACCAATTACATTACATAGCATCTTTCCTTGACTACAAACACACTCTCTGAATTCTAACAGAAATGCTACATGAACGATATTACTTTAGGGTTTGGAAGACTGGAGATATAAACATAGGTCTGCCATAATATATGTTCATATACAGTTTAAGCATTATTTTATTACTTTTTAAGGAAATATCTTAGAGGATGAGTACAAAAATATATGCTTTATTCATTAATGTAACATTCATCACCTATTAAATACCTAATATGTGCTGTAAATACCTCTTAGTGCTGAAGAAATAAAAATGTATAAGATTGGAGCAATTTCTGTCCTGAGTTTATAATTGTTTTATTTTTAAGTGAACTAAATTTATGAAAATCTGAATTACAATCATATAGTATAGTGTTCCCAAAATTGTGATCTATCAGTCCCTGGTGGTATGGTATGTCCGTGGGAAAATATTTTACTTTAGTTGTTATATATTTATTTTTCTGGATTATTTCCATTTATGACAAATGATATAGTACTGTTAAAAATTAAAGTTAAATTTAAAAGTGAAAAGAATTATAGAAACAATATCAAGTAACACTGGCATATGTGGTACAGGGATATAACAAAATTATTAAGTTTTGAAATATCACTATATTGTTTGTTATGGTTTGTGTCGAAATGTCCCTCCCAAAGCTTCACATAGTCATCGAGTTTTTTCAGAAGTGGCTGAATCTTGGATATGTAATTGCTTCGCAGTGTAATGCTGGGATTAAGGGTGCTGAGATTAAGGGTGGCTACTTGCTGAATCAATCCACTGATTGGATTAGCTCTGCCCTAAGTCTGGTAGATTGGACACAACATAAAGGCAGAAAGAGGCTTGCCTCTCTTCCTCATTGCTTTTGCTGTCTTCTGCTGTGAGAAACAGTTGGCCCTCTGCCATGTGACCTTCTGCTTTGGAGCAAGAAAATAGTGGACTGAAACCTCTACTCTTTCCCTCCTTTAACTTTCCGTGTTAGTTATTTCATCTCAGCAATGAGAAAAGAAAGACAATAGTCTACAGAAACTATTAACAGTTCAAGAAAATGTGCTGGGTAATGACTTATGTACTGAAATGTCTTATTTCCTGTAAAATATGACTCAATTTATGAAAAACATATCCCATGGCTCAATATTACATATTCGTACAATTTAGGTTAGTGAAGAAAACTAGTTATACAATATATGACACATCATTTTATACTTCTTTTATTGTCTTAACTGTTTTGTTTTGGGGAGACTGTTTTTTTTTTTAAATTTCAGCTTTTTGAGGTAACCATATTTTCACATGAAAGTATAAGAAACAATTCTATTTCATTTACCCAGTTCAACCCATTGGGAACATCTTGAAAAACTATAGCCCAATATTATTCCCAAGATACTGATTCTGACACAAGAGATAAAACAGTACTGTCCCGTAAGTATTTATCTTTTTACCTTTTTAACATTACTTAACTTTTGCTAATCACTAGCACGTATACTTTTTAACTTTTCAAGACTGTACTATGGATGGAATCAAACAATGTAGAACCTTTTGGGATTAACCCTCCCTCAAGATAAATCTCTATGGATTCATCTAGATCTTTAGGTGCAACAGGAGTTTGTTTTTTCTAGAGGAAGGTGTAGTGGGGATTGAACTCATACACTAACACATGATAAACAAGTGCCCTATCATTGAGCTACATTCCCTAGGTGAATGTGTTCTTCTACATGTTGACTAACCTCTTGGTACAGCTGTACTATAATTTGTTTTCATCATTCACCCACCGAAAGGTTCTTGGTTGCTCCTAAAATCAGGCTATTTTTTGTGAAATTTATTTTATTTTAAAATTAACATAAAAATTTTGTGTATTTGTTGTGTGCAGCCTGATGTGGAAGGCTTTCAGTTCATTCCCCTGCAACATACATGCACTACTGTATGCTATATGTTTACACATTTGTATACATTCGGTGATGATTAAACCTAGTCAATTATCAAATGGAGTATCTCACACAGTTAAAGCTTTTGTGGTAAGAACACTTAACATCCACTCAGCATTTTTCAAGGATATAAAATACTGTCATTAATTATAGTCATCCTGCTGGAGAACAGACCTCTTGAACATATCTATTGGGGTTTTTGGTACCTGCTGACCACCATTTTCCCAAGTGCTCCTCCACTGAAACCACAGCCCCTGGAAAACAGTGTTTTGCTCTTTACTTCTAAAAAGATCAACTTTTTTAGTTTTTACATAAAACTGACAGCAAGAGTATCTGTCTTTCAGAAGCTAGTTTATTTTTCTTAGCAGAATACCTGTAGGCTTACCATGTTGCAACAAATAATCAAAACTCACTGGAATGATGTTTCCAGTCTGCATGAATGCATTTATATCATTAGCCTACTTATGGATCTTTAGGTTGATTCTGTATCTTGAGTATTGTGAATAACAGTGAAATAAACACAGAAGTGCAGATATCTGTTTGACATGTTGATTTAATTTTCTTTGGCTGAATACCTGGAAGTTAGGCTGCTGGATCATATGACAGTTCTGTCCCTAGTTTTTTGAAGGACCTCTATACTGCTTTACATGGTGTGCAAGGTTTCCTTTTGTTACACATTTTTGCCAACATTCACCGCCTTTTGTCTTTTAATATAACAGGAGTGAGATGGCATCTCATTATGGTTTTGATGTGTATTTCCCAAAAATTAGTGATAATGAACATTTTTACATATATGTGTACTTCTAGGTTATTTGTATGTCTTTTGAGAAATATCTACTCAGGTCTTCTATTCTCTAATTTTTAGTCTATTATGTGTCTATAGGTGAAGTGAGTGTTTTCTAGACAGCATATAGAAATTCTACCAGGTTCTCTAGTGTGGTTCCCGAGCCATCACAGTCATTGCAGCCACTGTAGTACTGGGAGGACCCTAAACTCAGGATTGTCATGGCTGGTACAGTACCAGGTGGAATCCAGTGTCCAGTAACACGAGTGTAGCTCTTGGGTGCATCTGAAGCGCTTAGCTGCCAAGACCTGCTTGCGCTGATATTTTTCTAGAAGCCAAAATTATTATATTCAGGTGGTTTCAGTGTTTAGGTCAGATCTTGAGCCCATTTTGCAAAGGTTCTAGGTTCTTGCCTACCACCAGGGAAATTCAAGAGACTCCATGTAGAGGTACCCACTTGGATTTAGGGGTCTTAGATTTAGTGTGTCTGCCTGGTGGCTGAGTTTTACTGTGGTGGTCCTGGAATTAGGGAAGGGGACAAAGTCTTATGATCACTACTCTCTTTCTTCCACACTGTGCTGCCTGGACTGGGGAAATGGATCATGTTGGTATCATGGTACCATTCCACACTCTTCAATGCATGT